GCACATGATTTATGTTGGAGGCACAGGAGACCTTAGACAGAAGATAATTGTGGCTCTACATAATTCCCCACAAGGAGGACACTTAGGTATTCAAGCTACATACCAGACAATTAAGTTATTTTCTCTGGCCAAGAATGAAAATCATGACTCGAGATCATATTAAGCAGTGTGACATTTGTCAGAGGACTAAAGTTGAGCATATTCCTAAGTCTGGACTGTTATAACCTATTCCAGTTCCAAATAATGCTTGGGAAGTGATAACAATAGACTTTATTGAAGGGTTACCACCTTCAGCAAAGTACAATTATATCCTGATAGTGATTGAAAAATTTACTAAATATGCTCATTTTTTGCCTTTATCTCTCCCTACACAGTGGTGGAGGTTGCTAAAGTGTATCTTGATCAAGTTTATAAATTGCATAGTCCACCTAAAGTTGCAATTTCTGACAGAGATAAGTCTTTCACCAGTTTATTTTGGCAAGAATTAGTTAAGTAAATGGGGACAACAACCTATTTTAGTACTGCCTATCATCCAGAAACAGATGGTCAGATTGAAAGACTCAATCAGTGTTTGGAGCAGTATCTAAGGTGTATATGTTTTCTAAAGCCAAGTTCATGCTCAAAGTTTCTACCACAAGCTGAGTTCTGGTATAACACAAATTACCACACAGCTTTACAGATGACCCCATTTAAGGCATTATATGGGTATAAACCCCCTAATTTACACTGGTAAGGAGAGTCAAGGGTGGATATAGTACAGAGCATGATGCAACACATGAATCAATTGAATATATTCCTAAGAGAGCAACTACTCAAAGCAAGCAATAGAATGAAACAAATGGTAGATAAAAATCGCACTCACAGGGATTTTCAGGTGAGAGATGAGGTTTACCTGAAACTTCAACCGTACAGACAAACATCTCTTGCATTGAGGAAGAATCTAAAACTGGTTGCTCGGGTCCTTACAAAATACAGAAGAAAATAGGTCAAGTTGCGTATAAACTTGATTTTCCACCATAATCGAGGTTGCATCCGGTGTTTCATGTCAGTTTACTTAAGAAAAAAAGTAGGGAAACAGGCGTTTACCTCGATAAATCCTCCTAAGGTTGCCTCAGACGGTCAACTAAAAGTTTACCCAGCCACTGTTTTGAATCGAAGAGTGGTAAAACAACATAATCAAGCTGTTGATCAATTTCTTATCCACTGGACGAACATGGCACCAACAGATGCCACTTGGGAAGATGCTACAGTATTAAAGACACAGTTTCCCAATTTCGATCCTTGGGGATAAGGATCGACTGATGGAGGGGGTATTGTCACGATGGAAGGAGAGTTAGGGTTTGAAGGTATTGATTTAGGGGAAATTTGAAGAGAGGAATTAGGGTTGTAACCGAAGAATTTGGGAGAGGATCAAAAGAAATTGGGGGAAGATCGAACGGATTTAGGGATTCAAAGGGGGCTAGGGATTGATATTTTATCTGAGGGAATTGGGAGTGAAGTGTGACAGGAGATGGGTAATGAGATTAAGGCTGGGGTATATGCGGGTGGAGGAATAGTTGGGCCTATTGGACTTCATCCAATTTAACATACAGGTGGATCTAGTCATTTGGGCTTGAGTCTGTTAGAATAATATCAGGGTAGAGATTTGGATGATAAGTCAGCTTAGAGGTAGTTATTTTGTTAGATTTGTTGTTCTGACAGCTGTTACCTGTTTATATATAATTTGTACCAAATTCCTTAAGAATTATCTAATGAATGAATGCACGTTTTCTATACCTAAATCTCTCTATTTATGAAATCCCTAAATTTCTTCTATATTCTTAGCCTAAAACACAACATGATTATGGTGAAACATTCTCTCCAGTTTCCAAACTTGTCAATGTTCGTGTAGTTTTGGCTTTTGCTTTTGCTTTGATGCATGCCTGGCCTTTACATCAAATGGATGTTTATAATGTGTTCATACAAGGGGATTTATATGAGGGTGTGTAGGCTACAAAAATATCTTTCCGAATAGAAGCAAACTTCACGACAATGGAACATGAAGTTAACTGAAGCTTTGCTTAAAGAGTGGTATCAGTAATGTATATATGATTACTCACTGTTCACTTAAGTAAAGGGTGAAAGCATTTTTATTCTTCTTGTGTATGTAGATGATTTGCTTATCACTGGTGGTGATGAAAGTCTGATTGCAGAATTGAAAGAGATTTTGAACAGAAGCTTAAAAAATGAAGGATTTGGGAGATCTAGAATATTTCTTAGGTTTTATGGTTCTTTGGTCCAAAGAATGGATCATTTTAAATTAGAGGAAGTATGCATTAAAGTAAATAGTAGATATTGGTTTGGGTACTGTAAGACTTGCTCCAACTTCATTGGAGCAAAATAAAAGGTTAACTTCATTCACGTATGACAAGGGTTAACGCATAAGTGAAGAAGAGGACATTATGCTCGAAGACAAGACGATTTTTCAATGGTTAGTGGGAATATTGATATATCTTACTCACACAAGGTCTGACATAACTTTCACTGTACAATTTCTGAGTCAATTCATGCATCATCCTAAAGCGTCGCATTTAGAGGCTGCCATGAGAGTGGTGCGATACATAAAGAAAAGTCTAGGCCAGGAAATTTTTCTTGATGCTTCAAGTAAGAGCTAGATCATTACATATTGTGATTCGGATTGGGAAGTATGTCCCATGACTAGGAAATCTGTGACTGAATTCTGTATTAAGCTCGAAAATTCACTTATTTCTTTCAAATCAAAGAAGCAAAGTACGGTTTCCCAATCTTCAGCCGAGGTAGAGTACATAAGTATGGATGTAACATTAATGGAAATAACATGGCTATAAGGATTGTTGAATGAACTTGGAGAAAAGAAAATGGGAACTGCGATAATGAAGTGTGACATCAAAACGACACTCCAAATAGAAGCAAATCCAGTTTTCTACGGAGCACATAGAGATTAACTGCCATTATTTTCAAGAAAAAATTCAAGATGGAAACATATAGGCTGAGCATGTTCGTTCGAATAAACAGTTGGCAGATCTGATAACTAAAGCCTTGAGGGTTCATCATCATGAATACTTGACTTCCAAGTTGACGATTAAAGATGTGTTCCAATCACTAACTTGAGAGGGACTGTTGAATGTTGTTAAGTTAATTTATAATTAGTTAGGAAGTTTTGTAACTACTTGTTAGTTAGTTGCTAGCATGCTTAGTGTATAAATACTGTTTGTAATCCTACTTGTGATAAGTGGAGAAACTACCCATTTAATCATTTGTTTTCTTGAATATTAACAAAATATTGGTTGTGTTAGCGTGAGTTTAATAAGAAAAAAAGATTTATAAGCTTTTCACTATTTTTTTCATTTTTTTTATTTCTTCTTCGAAGCTCCCATAACACAAATGAACCCATTTTGTATAGCAAAGTTTTCATCCGAGATTTATGAAGGCGAGATTATTATTTTGCATCCCTAAAGCTTCGAATTAAGCCTCATATCTCTATTAAATAAGTTGTAAAGCTAGAAGAACATCCAAGTGCAAGAGAAAAGGTGATAGTAAGGATAGTTAAATAAAATAGCTTCATTTTGAGGTTATCCAACAATATAGTGTATTTATAATCTTATATGATGTCACAAACTTCGTAAATATAATGTTTCGAACTTGGTTTAGCATTTAATCATATTTTGAGTGTTATTCATGATTTACGTAGTGGTAGATTTAGAAATATTTTTTAGGGTGAGCACATATATATTGAGGTAAATTATGTATTTAGTACCTAAACTATTAGTTTTAGTTCGTTTTAGTACTTAAGCTTTCAGTTTTTTCAAAATCATACCTAACGTTTAATTTTTATTTCATTTTAGTACTCCACCGTTAAAAACTTAACGCATTTAGTACCTAAACTTTCATTTTGTTTTTAAATTTTAATGTTAAATTTTGAACGAGATACGAAAATGAAGCAAAAACTAAAGTTTTTAATGGTGGGGTACTAAATTCAAACAAAAACTAAACAAAGTGTAGGTACTAAACATGTAATTTACCCTATATATTAACCACAAATTGTTTTATATGAAATGAGCACAAATAAAATTTAAAGATAGATATAATCAATAAAATAAGTCACTAATTAATTTTTTTTTTATTTGCCCACATAACTTAGGTGCATCCACCCCTGGATTTATGACTTGGGTGTTGAAATGATTTTAAAACATGTGTTCTTATGATGGTAAATTACCCTATGTAAGTTTGAGTGATCGATTTGGGCCTAAAATAGAATGTTTGTAAGGGTTTTGGAGCAACTCTCAAGCTTAGAAATAATAATTATGAGCCTGACACTAGTAGTAAAACCTAGTTTTTCAAAACTAGGTAGTATTATCATATGTCCAACATTTATGGTTCAAACTTATACAGACTGTTTGCTCTTGTTAGCTACTGTTTCCTGTCAAGTTTAGTCAGCAACTGCATAAACATGAATGTGGCATGAACAAGCATCCTTTCTCAACTTCTGGTTGATTTTAGATGAGTAGTGGATGGTGTCGTCGAAGTTAGAATGTCTTTCCTACCTCAAGTAGTTGGGGATGCTGAGGGTTTTAGACATTCATGGAAATATGGAAGTAGATAATCCTAGAAATAATGTCAGCATTAATGGGTATCTGATTTTAAGATCCAATAAAAACATCATTGTTTATGAAGGTATATTTACATGACTTTTATGGATAAATTTCCGTTTATTGCAACATTTCTCATGTAACATTTTTCTCTGTATCCTTTCTTCTGGGTTTATGTCAAAGCGTTAACTTTTTCAAAAGTAAGAATCTGACTCATTTATTTCTGCAGAGGCGGTCCATAATGTCTCTCAACAAATGAAAGAGGTGAGCTTTGCAGTATTATACTAAAAAAAGTTGCTTTTGGCTATTATATATCTTTGATGTTTGATCCCATCGATTAACATTCAAGAAATATGGCTAACTACTGACGTTCGTAATGCAGGAGATACTGAATAGTCATCCAGAGCAATCATGTACAATAATGATTCATAAAACACTTTTGTTTGAGAAATGGGCTTTTGTTTTGAACGTTAATCTGAATACCGTGCTTCATTTGAGTTTATTTTACCCTTTTTTGTTGGACTTCCCACAAACAACAGTGTTCACCATTTATTTCTTTCTTTCTTGCTTAGAATTTGGTGTTAACCACTAATTGTCTGGGTTCTTTTCATTCTCAGTTTTTTGGTCATTGCTTACTCCTGATCAAAATAGAATTCACACACCAGTTGAATCCTCCTTGTCTCTCTCATTCAGGTAAGTTTTTTCTTTACGCCTCATCTTGGGTTTGGTGTATGTGGTGACTCTAACAGTAGCGGTTGGGTGTATTGATAGTAACTGGACATCTGTGATGGTCCCTGGATTTTTCATGTTATAAAATTTACCTTTTTGTTTGAAGTAGGTCTTCCCCACTAATCGTTCTAGCAGTTTATACACAAACTACTACTGCAATAATGTATATATTTGGTTTCTAGCCTCTTTACGGTACTTTATGTGTTTGTGACATCCTTTGTGCATTATGTTCGCCACTCATCCTATTATGACATCCAATAATCTGTTGAAAGTCAAAATATCATGGGTGACTATACAAATTCAAATGGGGCTGCTAAATTGATTATGTTAGGCAGCTTGAAAATGTTGAATTTTAAAATGGTAAAATCACAAAATTTAGCCATTAGACTTTAAGGTATTTACAAGATTAGTCCTTAAGTTTCAACTATAAATACCTTAGCTCATTTAGCTTCAAAATCATCCCAAAGCATTCTAGCTTTCTTCCAATACTAGAGAGAATTTAGAGAGTTTCTTGAGAGTTGTTTTCTCCTTTTTATCAAGAGAGAATTATCATTGTTTTCTCCTTGGTCGATCGAGAGAAGTTGTAATTCCTATTTTCTCATAGTGAAATTCTTATACTGTTGCCCGTGGTTTTTATCCTATATTATTCAGGGGTTTTTCACGTAAATTTTGTGTCTCTTTTATCTTCATTTTTATTTTCTCAAATTATCAGTTGCGATTTTACTCTATCCGATAGCCGTCTTCCGCAACAATTGGTATCCGAGCCAGATTTGAGTGTGTAATATCTGCTTATTGTCTTTGTGGTTACCACCAAAAGGTTGATCCTCCAACATAAGAAAGTAAGAAGTTATTACCCATTCTTTGAAGGTTCCAAAGAACTATTCACAATAGTGAAATAGTTGGAGCTATCCGTAAACGAAGCAATGGCAACGAAATTTGATATTGAAAAGTTCAATGGGGAGAAATTTCTCATTGTGGAAATTGAAGATGAAGGTCATCCTGAGGAAAGACGGTTGTCTAGCAGCTATCAGCGAAAGGCCAATAGATTTCACAGACGACAACAAATGGATCGAAATGGATGGAAATGCTATGACAAACTTTCATCTAGCATTAGCAAATGAAGTATTATCAAGTATTGAGGAGAAGAAAACATCTAATGAGATATGAGATCATCTCACCAAATTGTACGAGGTCACATCGTTGCACAATAAAATTTTCCTTAAGAGAAAATTATACACTCTCCGTATGACAGAATCTACTTCAGTGACGGAGCACTTAAATACACTGAACACTTTATTTTCTCAGTTTACATTCTTAAGCTGTAAAATAGGAGAACAAGAACGTGCTGAACTTCTACTTCAAAGTCTACCGGATTCGTATGATCAACTCATCATCAACTTGACAAACAGTAATGTCACCAGTCTAGTCTTCGATGACGTTGCAGCTGCTGTTCTACAAGAAGAAAATCGGCGTAAGAACAAGGAAGACAAACAAGTAAATCTGCAACAAGTAGAAGCGTTGACAACGACGAGAGGGAGATCAACAGAACGTGGCCAAAGTAGCAGTCACAAACATGGTAGATCGAAGTCGAGGAGCAAGAAGAATTTAAAGTGCTACAACTGTGGAAAGAAGGGTCACTTGAAGAAGGATTGTTGGATTCTAAATAAAAACTCCAATCCACAAGGCTATACCTCAAACACTTTAGATGATGGAGACGCTCTATGCTGTGAAGCGTCAACCACCGTGGAAGGCAGAAAAAGATTTGCAGATATATGGCTCATTGATTCGGGAGCGACATATCACATGACCTCAAGAAGAGAATGGTTCCATCATTATGAAACTGTCTCAGGAGGATCTATGTATAGTTGCAATGATCATGCCTTAGAGATCGTTGGTGTGGGAACCATCAAATTAAAGATGTATGATGGAACAATTAAAGTTGTTCGAGATGTGTGGCACGTGAAAGGCTTGAAGAAAAATTTATTATCCTACGGATTGTTGGATAATAATACTAGCAAGATTGAAACACGGAAAGGAATCATGAATGTGTTCCGTGGAGCGCTTGTGGTGTTGAAAGGTGAAAAGATAGTTGCAAACTTGTACATGCTGAAAGGAGAGAAATTGCTATAAGTAGAAGCCTCTGTTGCCTCATGTAGTTCAGATTCTGCAATGCTATGGCATAAGAAACTTAGACACATGTCAGAACAAGGAATGAAAGTCCTTGTGGAGCAAAAGCTACTTTCAGGTTTAATAAATGTATCACTTACTTTGTGTGAGCATTGCATAACATGTAAGCAGCATCGGTTGAAATTCAACACATCAAATTCTAGAGGCAAAAGTGTTCTAGAATTGATTCACTCTGACGTATGGCAAGCACCAGTAACATCCCTAGGTGGAGAAAAATTCTTTGTCTCATTTATTGATGACTACTCTAGGAGATGTTGGGTGTACCCTATTAAGAAGAAGTCATACGTGTTTTCAACTTTCAAAAACTTCAAAGCGCGGGTGGAACTTGATTCTGGAAATAAGATCAAGTGTTTCAGAACAGATAATGGAGGAGAATACATAAGCGAAGAATTTGATGACTTTTACAGGAAAAAAGGCATCAAAAGACAGTTCACAGTGGCGAACACTCCTCAAAAAAATGGAGTGGCAGAGTGGATGAACAGAACCTTGTTAGAAAGAACAAGAGCAATGTTGAGGGATGCAGGCCTAGAAAAATCATTATGGGCAGAAGCAGTCAATACCGCCTGTTATTTGGTGAATCGAGCTCCATCAACTGCAATAGAGCTGAAGACACCAATGTAGATGTGGACTGGAAAACCAGCTGATTATTCAAACCTCTATGTATTTGGAAGTATAGTGTATGTGATGTACAACTTCCAAGAAATTTCAAAGTTGGATCCAAAATCCAGGAAATGCAAATTCTTGGGGTATGTTGATGGAGTAAAGGGGTATCACTTGTGGGATCTCACTGCCTGCAAAGTGATCATCAGTAGAGATGTTATCTTTGTAGAAGATAAACTACAAAGAAAAGAAGACGATGAAAGAGCTGAAAAGTCAGAGACTACTCAGATACATGTGGAAAAAGAGTTTGAACAAGGAGATTCTTCTGAAGCAGAACCAGCACATGATGAACAAGAACCAGAGAGTTCTGAAGCTCCAACAACTCGACAATCAGATCGTGTGAGAAGACGTCCCAATTGGCACTCAGATTGTGTTATAGAAGGTAATATTGCATATTGCCTTTTAACAGAAGACGGTGAGCCATCAACATACAAGAAAAAATTGAAGCCCTTCATAAAAATAATACATGGGACCTTGTGCCACTACCACAAGAAAGGGAGCCAATTGGTAACAAATGAGTCTTCAAAAGCAAGCGAAATGGTGATGATCAAGTTGAGAGGTATCGTGCAAGACTGGTGGTCAAAGGATATGCTCAAAAAGAATGTATTGATTTCAATGAAATATTTTCTCCAGTGGTTCAACTAACAACTGTTCGAGTAGTTTTGGCAATGCGTGCTACATTGGACTTACATCTAGAGCAGCTAGATGTTAAAACAGCTTTTATTCATGGAAATCTTGAAGAAGAAATTTATATGCTCCAGCCTGAAGGTTTTGAAGAAAAAGAAAAGAAGAACTTGGTTTGCAGATTGAACAAATCTCTGTATGGTCTAAAGCAGTCGTCGAGGTGTTGGTATAAGAGATTTGATTCTTTCATTATGTGCCTTGGATACAACAGACTTAATGCAGACCCTTGTGCTTATTTCAAGAGGTTCGGTGATAACAATTTTGTTATATTGTTGTTGTATGTGGATGACATGTTGGTTGCAGGACCCAAAAAAGATCATATTGACGAATTGAAGGCACAACTGGCTAGGGAATTTGAAATGAAGGACTTGGGATTAGAAAACAAGATTCTAGGGATGCAAATTCACCGAGACAGAAGTAATAAGAAGATTTGGCTTTCACAAAAGAATTACTTAAAGAAGATCTTGTCACGATTCAACATGCAAGATTGTAAGCCAATTTCTACCCCTCTTCCTATTAACTTCAAATTATCCTCCAGTATGAGTCCTAACAGTGAAGAAGAGAGGATGGAGATGTCTCGAGTACCGTATACATCAGCAGTGGAAAGTTTAATGTTCGCTATGATATGCACAAGACCAGACATTGCACAAGCAGTGGGAGTGGTTAGTCGGTACATAGCAAATCCAGGCAAAGAGCATTGGAATACAGTAAAGAGGATCCTTAGTACATCAAAGGGACCTCAAATATTGCATTATGTTATGGAGGATCAAACTTACTAATAAATGGGTATGTAGATTCTGACTATGCAGGGGACTTGGATAAAAGCAAATCTACTACAGGATATGTGTTTAAAGTTGCTGGTGGAGATGTAAGCTGGGTTTTAAAATTTTAGTCAGTTATGGCTACATCCACAACAGAGGCAGAATATGTAGTATATACACAAGCACATACGAGTTCAGTACCATTTCATTCGTGAAAAGGTGGAAGAATGGACAGTAGATATGCAGAAGATTCATACCAAAGACAACATAGCATATTTCATGACGAAGTCAATCAACGCTGATAAATTTACCTGGTGTCGATCCTCTTATGGCCTGTCAGAGACGTAAGCAACATGAAGGTACAAGGTAGAAAGAATAGTGTAAAGATATGATTGTTCCAATCAAATCTTCAAGTGGGAGATTGTTGAAAGTCAAAATATCATGGGCAGCTATACAAATTCAAATGGGGCTGCTAAATTGATTATGTTAGGTAGCTTGAAAATGTTAAATTTTGAAGTGGTAAAATCACAAAATTTAGCCATTGGACTTTAGGGTATTTACAACATTAGTCCTTAAGTTTCAACTATAAATACCCTAGCTCATTTAGCTTCAAAATCATCCCAAAGCATTCTAGCTTTCTTCCAATACTAGAGAGAATTTAGAGAGTTTCTTGAGAGTTGTTTTCTCATTTTTATCAAGAGAGAATTATCATTGTTTTCTCCTTGGTCGATCGAGAGAAGTTGTAATTCCTATTTTCTCATAGTGAAATTCTTCTACCATTGCCCGTGGTTTTTACCCTATATTATTCAGGGGTTTTCCACGTAAATTTTGTGTCTCTTTTATCTTCATTTTTATTTTCTCAAAATATCAGTTGCAATTTTACTCTATCCGATAGCCGTCTTCCGCAACATATTCCCCCTTCGTGGCAGTTCGATTCAACATCCACCGATTGGAGTCCCACAATCAGCTGGGTTCGCAATAGCATCATTGCAGCCTAACCTTCTTGTTAGTCAAAACTATTGGGTGTGGCCTCCCCCTTCCATAAAGGTTATCCCCTGACCGAGCGTGTTGGATAGCCTAATAAGGGCCTGTAGAGGAATTTGTAATTTATATCATTTGCTTTTGTAAAGTCAATATCCATTTAGTACCCCCATAGTTTTCTATTGTTGTCTTATCTATAAGCTTTTGCCATTATTCGTCCACAAAATCGTTGTCCCAAGAAAGGTCCTGGGAAGTTTTTCATATTTCATCTTGGTTAATACATCTTCCGTACAAGTCTCTCTTTCCCTGCGTACGGTGTGCCGATGATGTGCTGGTAAGAGAAAATGTCTTATTCACGACCCAATACAAAGCAGTTGTAATGAGTAATCTCCATCTCCATGTATTTCATCTCCACATCATCGACCATTGATGAATTTTATCGAGTAAAATGACTTCTCAATAATTATTTATACTGCATTATAAAGAATTCTCATCCAATTAAATTTATATTATTTTAATCACAAATTTATTAATTCATAAATATCTTTTCTAATATCATAATAGACTAATACCAAAATTTTCTTTAGATGTATCAAAGTGTACAACTAACTCTAAAATATTTACGATCTATCGTAATTCCTAACATTATTATGTGTTCTAAAATAATGACACTAATACAAACAGTGATAAAAATATGCTTAAGTGAAAGAATCAAATTCTAAAAGGGTTGAAAAAAATCAAAAGACCAAAGGACTTAACATATATTTGTAGTATTTTAAATTTAAAATATTTGTATTTAAAAAAAATCAATTTGGCCCTCAAACTTAAAAAAAAAATCAATTTAGCCTATCATGTCACTAACCACTGTGGACTGCCATGTCAGCACCGTAATGATCAACGACGGAAACTGTTGGTCAAATAGCCATATTGAGTTCTTTTTCTAAGTTCAAGGGCTATATTGAGTGTAAAAAAAATTTGAGGGCCACATTAGTTCTTTTAGAAAAGTATAGGGGTCTGAGATACCCTTTTATCTTTTACTAAATAATAATATTTTATTGATATAATTTCATAAAGCTGTTGGAGTTTATACTATTTTTAGAGTAATGTTATTATCTGGGACTATTGTTTTATCCTTTTAGGATTAGGGTTTTTATTTTGAATTTATCCTATTTTAATTTCTTAGACAAACAATTAGGATTTATTTAAACGCCGCGTTTTCATATCGTTCGCGTGAGTTTAGCGATTTTCTACGAGAATAAGATTATAGATGAGAATGAATCATGTGATGCGTTCACACGATTTTAGAGACTTTTTTTGGTCACAAATGGGAAAGAAGAAAAACAAGATAACTAATTCAACCTATAACCTCGTGAAAACGCCACCCCTGGAATCTGCTTCCAAAAAGGCCGAGACATCAGTCGGAGAAGACTGAAAAATCAAGAGATCATCCTCGAGAGAGCATCCCATCTTGGCGAGTGCATCTGCATAAAAATTCCCTTCACGGTAGGTATGACAGAACTGCAAATTCCAGTTGTAAGTAGTAAAACACTAAATGTCTTCAATTAAATTTCTCAAAGGATGAAAGATACTATCTCCTTTTTCAATCAGCCAAAGTACCACTTTAGCATCTACTTCACAAATAATACAGCTATATCCAAACTTCAATTCAAGCGATAAACCAATACGAATCGTATATAGTTCAGCCGCGACACTGGAACAAACCCCCAGATGAGCCGCAACCCCAGCACCCAATGGCCCATCTAATCTCGTAATAGTCCTCCTGCTCCTGCAACACCATGATTACCTTGACTCGCCCCATCAGTGTTGAGTTTAAGAAAACCATTAAAAGGTGGTGACCAAGCTACCGTGTGAATCGGAGAAGACTCCATAGCATGTCACACCCCAAAAATATTGAGATTTAATTATTGGATTTAATTATTAGATTATAGTAAGTTAATTATGAGTACCAAATCGTAAAACTTGGGATCTTGAGATCAATTTTTGAAAGTTTTAGAAAGCTCAGGGATCTAAGCTAGAATTATCCTATCAATCTATGGTTTTGAAAAATAATAATAATAATAAAAAGAGTCGAAGCTGGTGAACCATGCCACGTCACCGATCTCTGGCTAACGGTGACGTGCACCGCGACCGCCACATCGCTCCCTATCATTCTCTGATCAAAACCCCTTTGGTAATTCGTCAGAAACCGTCACCGATTGTCATGGAGAACCTCTTGAAGGTTCGTCAAAACCTAAAACCCCATCGTTGATATTTTTCACGATTCCGGCCGTCGTAAAAGACCATAGGCCGCGTTACCACCACCAAACAACTCGTTGTCCCAATATGGTCAAAACTCGATAATCCCCGCTCCGAGAAAGCCCGTCGTTCGTCGCGAATTAACCAATAAAACTTTGACGAAAAATTCAACCATCGTCATTTTTTTTTGTATTTTTACGCCCATCCCGATGCCAACTTGGTTCACCGTTTCCACCTTTGGACTTCTCGTCCTAGTATGCTCAAAACCCGACCAGTTTTATTGCATCACCGTCATCCAATAACCGATCGTCGTTGGGTAAGCTTCGATTGTTTTATTTTAATTTTGAGTAAATTTTGGTTGGATTATTGGGATTATGTGAGTTGATTTTTGGTGTTTGGTGGTTTTCTGGTTAATCGACCATCGTCCTTGTCCCCATCATCCATCGCATGCATCGTCATGCACCAACAGTGCTCGTGGGCTTTGTTTTCAGTCGAGTCAACGGGACCTTCTGTATACCGAGTCAATTCAGACCGAGTTGATTGAGTCAACTCGCTAAGTTAACTGAGTCAACTCGCCAAGTTAACTCAGACCAGTAACCCGATGATCTGACCGTTGACCATTGAACCGATCATTGACCTGTTGACCCAATCGTTGACCAGACCCGTTGACTTTGATCGCGTTGACTTTGACCAAAAAGTGAACTTTTTCAAAAAAAGGCCTATTTTATGTTTTTGGACACCCTGAGTCTGAATTCGAAGTTCGTTTCACTAAATTCAAACATGATAAGCTATTTTTCAACATTTTATCTTCTGATTCCAATAGTAGTTTCGTTTCTGACGTTTATTGTTTTGCCATTTCATCAAGATATTATGGGATGTCAAAATCAAGTGTGAGGGCATTTGAATGAAGTTTAATTGGTTGACTGATGCATACGAAAATCGAGATAATACTTTACTACCTTATGTACACTTTACAGTATATGTTGGTATTGACTAGTGCATGCTTTATAATGTTTAATAAAATAAATCCTGATGAATATTTTTAAATTCATACTGAATATGAAAAAAGGATATTAAATTGGTTAAGACTCAAACTGAGTACGATATAAAGTTGGTATATTGAATAAGACTTGGATAACTTGCTTAAGAAATTGAAAGACCGATAAGAAAGAATTTAAGGCTCAACTATCGACCTCAAGATTTGTAAATTTTGATTATTTTCTTTTAAGGTTGAGTGCAGAAAATACGTGGATAAGAAATTACAAAAATAAACCTATGGAGTAAAATTACGAAAATACCCTCGTACTACAAAAAGACCAAGATAGTCCCTGATAGTGAAAAATAGCAATGAAAGGATGTACTTGACTAAATTACTATTGTAACCTTAAAAGACCGAAATACCTTGAACTCTAAATGACCCAAGTAACCTCTAGTACGAAAATGATCCAAATAACTTCATGTCCTAAAAATAAGTGAATGTTATTGGATAATTATAAAAAAAACTGAGAAACCTAATTATTGTACCGCCTCTTAAGGTTATAGAGTACGACGCGAGTACTTTGGTTATCCTAGAGAATGTTGCAATTCAGAAATAAAATAAATACCATCGGAATACACATAATTCTTCAATATCCTTTCAGCGATGGTTCTAAAGGTGATCAATATGACTAGTGTTGTAAGTATTAAGGAGTGAATATTCTTGAAGTACATCGATTCAAATGGTTGACATATATCACAGTGCTAGGTTTTGTTCAATTCAAGTTGACCAGATGCCTTAATAAATCGAAATGAAACTTGAATATCGTAAATCATCGTTTCACTCTTATTAGATTAAGTTGCTAATAATCCATCAGAAATCAACATGTCCGAAATATCCCTAAAGGCCTATAATGGAATTGATCTGGTTATATATGAAATCTTAAGTTATTCTATTGTAAAGGTTCCTAAATACTTTTCTAATGCACCTGAAATCCTAAAAGGGTTCTGAAGTATCACTTCTAAATTTCTGATTAGATCCGTTAGTAATCAATCCTTTTTAATAAATACCTCGTCCCTAAAATTCAATTAATTTACAGAAGTTTCTTGATTCCCTTCCTGATAATCTCCAAGCACCTTCAAAACAACTGAATCCTCTAGTTCGTTCCCTATAAACAAAAATGTTTTTTCTGATTTACATAAAATATGATTTCTTATATCTGGTTTCAGATTACTGGTTTCTTATCTATGGTTCTTGATTTATGATATTTCTATCTGTTACCTGATTTTTTTATTGGGGTATTGTCTGGGTAGGTGTCTGAAGACTCCGAGGTTCAACTAACTGGTAAATCTTTTCTATTCCGATCATTTATATTGGACTCCTAGATCATAGGGGTTAGGGTAAATCCTTATGGATATCTGTTATGGGGTACTATAATTGGTGTATGGTTGGAGGGAAACAATGTATTTTAAATAAAATCTCAACTTGAAATTTCTATTTTATGATATTACTAGTTCTATCTGAAACTGTTTTATTGCGGTATTGATTGGGTAGGATTCTGGAGTCTCTGAGGTTCAGCTAGCTGGTAAATCATTTTTGTTATGATAATTCATATTGGACTCATAGATCCTAAAGGTTTAGGGTAAGTTTTTATGGATGATGTCCTGAGATATTTCACACGGAGTATTCAGATGGAGGGTACTACAGTGATTTTTAAAACATGTTTTATTGAAATAACTACTACTATTTATAAACTAGGATTACATTTTATTTTGGTTTTAAAGGAACACACTAGATTACTGTTTCAATCTCTGAATCTGGTCTTCTGAATGTTTCCTCTAAGCTATAAGCTACCTTGTCTGTTATCTAAAGAAATATCGGTGTAATCTCAGCTCATCATGAAAAATTGTAGATGCCTGAATAAATAAGGAAATTTTTATACTTGCCTATTATCTACATGTCTTTCAGTATCATTTAGTAGTTATGTATTACTGAACTTCCCAAAAGTCACTCTTTTACTCACCATTTAAGGTTATAAAAATTGATCCAGTGCAAATATCTACTTCAGTAATGGGAGTTCCTTTGGCTTTGTTTGCAGAGTACGATATAAGTGTAATTAAGGGGCATGTAGGTCACATTTGATTTTTATACTGAGTATGAAACTTTTATGATTTTAATTCTGTTTGTAATATATGAATGGTTTTTTTAACTTTTATTTTATTTATAAATTGTTTTATGATTTTATATGTTTTAATAAAAGTTTTATTTTTTTTCTTAGATTTTTACTATGGGTCGCTCCTGTGACCCTAATATGACACCTCAGATCAGATCGGGTCACCCGTTTCAATCTGAGGGTGTTCCATAACATGTTTGGTGTTTTGTCGAATTAACTCATTAGCCTACAAGCAAATATTCATCCAAGTTCTTGATTCATCGTGTAATACCCCAATTTTTCCCAAATTAAAAACCCTATAATTCAGGAAATTTTGACCTAAATTCCTTAATTAAAATCAATGACCAAATTGTAAAATTAAAAGGCTTGAAGTTGTGTTTCCAAAACCATAGAATGTTCAATGGCTTGCTTTGTAATTAACCCATATTTTCTTTTAAATTAAACTCTTTCTCCCCCGATAATATCTTCTCCGCACCGCACCTTCTTTATTTTCTAAAAAACAAAACCCTTACGTCGAAACCTTGTAGAAGCGCCGCTCCTCGCCCTCACCTCTGATTCGTCATTCGGTCTCGTAGGTAAGGTTGTCAATCTTCGTTCATGTACCTCGACATCTCCCAATCGTTGTCGTCGTCGTTGAACGGTACTGGTTTGTGAAACCCGTGAGCCTTGACTCGCTCTCGTTGCCGTGGGGGCCTCGCGTCGGTCGTGTACGGTAGTGGTAGGATCGAGTGCTCATCAGGGAAGACTCGAATGGCCTGGGTCGTGGCTGAACAGCGTTGTTTGGTTGCGGAAAGCTTCTGCCGGTTGCTACCCTCTTCCGTCAATGTTGTCGCATACCGTTTAAGGTCATGGCAGGGCCGATTGTAGTATCTTCAACCCGTGAGGACTACTGTCGGTGCATCATTGTCACTGGCAGTCTTATTTTATTTTACCGACAGACCATTATATTCAAATCATAATTTGCTGTCGGGTCCCCGTTCGAGATTAAAAATAATTTTAAATAGTCGTAAATTATTATTTTATAAATTGGGATTTCTGATTTGGGACTTAAATTCTGACGTTGTAATTTTGCAGGAGACTTTGACTCGAAACTAGAATTACCACCTCCTCTGCTTTTACCCACAAACTTTGAACCGACTCAAGTTGCTCGTGTTGACCGTGAGTGTAATTAGTATTTTTTAGTGCGTCTAGCTTCGTAGTTAAACTTATAATAATTTATTAATTATTAAATATTTATCTTAGGCATGGATTCGGATCGACCTACTATCGTTAGTTATTTTGTCGAGGTGTGTCTCTTTTCGTTGCTACATTATTTTATTTGGTTGTTTAATTGTTTGTTGGTTGAAATTGAATGAAAACATGTTTGTCTGTGGGACTGTTTGTGCTATAATCAAAATATTGTTGTGTATTCATACTATGAGATTGTGTTGTGATATCAGAATCGAAATATAAGTGCTTCAAAATATTTCCTATTAAATATTTCTATTCATATCAGATCAGAATTTAAATATATGATTTTCGAGTATGTGTTATTCGGATATATGTAATTCGGATCGGATCAGATATCGAATATGTGTGCCATTTGCATGTTATATTAGGACGAATTTTGATAGGGGAAGTTAAGTGCATTCACTCGACGGGGTGAATGTCACTTTTGGATTTCATGGCCTCTGCCTTTGTGGCAAACCCTACTCTCGGTTATGAAGTGGTTGTAGTTTGAGTGGTTATGGGGAATCCACAGGTGGGTGCATGAGCATTTGCATACATTTAAATATTTGATTATCGTTGATTGATCGAAATATGATTATTAATGTTTGTTTCAGACTGTGTTGTGAGTTGTGTTTAATTGCACTTCAGAGACACACTAAACTTAATATCTTACACCCTTTTAGTTTCTCTCATTCAGATACTTGGGTTAGGAGAACAAGTACTTGGAGATACGATATTGCTCATATTTTATTTTATTCAGTATGACATTTTTACTTGGTTTCCTATTGCACATTTTATTAATTTATTTTGGGATAATATTCATTATGTTTAATTTTGTAGAGACATTAAACTTAAATTTTGTTTTGGACATTGGGACTTGAATTTTGAATTTTATAGACATTTCGATTATGTTTTAATTAATATTGATTTAATTCGGTTACTTTAAGTGTTTGAAATCTATAAATGCTAGGGTTAATTTTCAAGAAATTTTAAATAAGGTTTGGGTACGATATTGAGAAATTCAGTTAATGAGCTCTCTAGATTCGACCTAATTTCTTTAGGTCTGGTTTAGGGGAGTTACACGTTGTGTGAATGATCAGCGGGATCAAAAACTCTTCTGCACCGATCCTTCCAAAGATTCCAAACTGCACTTGCAAAGTGAATACTCCAAGCTTGGGAGTTCGAAGAAGCTGATAAGTTATCCTGAAGCCATTCTCGCAAATCCTAGGAATAAAAAGCTCCTCGTTGACAAGCAGGTACACTACGATTCCAAATATTATGTGCAATAAAACACTCCCGCAATATGTGATTGATGTCTTCCACCAGATGTCCACACGCGGTGCAACTAGATGACGTGGAGAGACCGAGCGATGCCCTTCTAGCATTCGTAAACAATCGATTTCGCCAAGCTAGCCATATAAAGAATTTCCATTTAGGAAGATTATGTAATCGCCAAATCCCAAGCAAGTTCGGCGAAGAGTTCTCAGGATTCTCACCGATGAGAGCAAGGTAGGCAGATCTTGTAGAGAAAACAACATCAGAAGTAAAACTTCCAAATATTTTTATCCTGAATATGTGAGTATTTAGCAAGAGGGTAGCCAAGAATTTGGACAACAACCTCCATGGGAAGTATGGCAAATAATTTGTTCACATCCCAATCACCATCCATAGTAATAAATTCACAAACACGAGACCTCTCCTCCACAAGAGATGGGTCGATATTAGGGTTGTGGAGAAGGGGTTGCACGAGCCACTTATCTTTCCAAAACAAAGTACTCTCACCATTACTGATTCTACGTAACATTCCAGAGGATAAACCCTTTAAGCCATGCACAATTCTTCTCCAATTATGGGACGACGAAGCAGATTTCATGGAAGCATAAGAAACATACTATTGCGGGTCTCCATGCACATGATACACTGCTTTAAACGCCCTCACCCATGGGCTGTCGGGTTGATTTAGGAAACGTCGGGCCGTTTTTTGAAGAACTGCATTATGCTTGGCCATTGAGCGAATACCAAGTCCCCCATATCGTTTCGGCTTACAAACTTCTTCCCATGAGACAAGATGGGGTACTCGTCGTTCGGCACTGCCACCCCATAGAAACCTTCTATTCATCTTGTCAATCCCTTCCACCACACTACTTGGAAGTCTAGTGGTCATCATGGAATAGGTCAGAATAGCGGATGTAACCGAGCTTATTAAAGTCAACCTGCCTGCGGGTATTAAAATTTTTGCTTTCCACCCACTTAGCCTTGCTTTAACTTTGTCAATGAGTTCAATATAAGTATGATTCATCACTCGACCAAGTTTTAAAGAAACCCCAAGGTACTGGCCGAGATCATCAAAGGAAATCATGTTCATAATTTGGCGAAAATGTCTACTAATACCCGGCCTTGTAGAGGGAGAAATATAGAACTTGGTCTATTCAAAATTAATCTTAGCACCCGAGGCGAGGCAAAACTTCCGAAGAATATCTTTAAACACAAGAGCTTGGCTTTCGTTGGCTCTCCCAAAGAAGAGGAGATCATCTGTGAAGAAGAGATTGGAGATTCGGGGCGTCCTTACCAAGTCTAATCGGTTTAAAAGTATTGTTTGCAAGAACTGTCTGAATTAGGGGTCCAAGTCTTTCAATGCATAAAGAAAACATATGCGGAGAAATCGGATCACCTTGACGGAGACCCCTGGAAGGACTAAAGAACTCTGTTTTTTGGTCATTCCAAAGCCCTGAAAATTTATTACTTTGAACACAAAACAGTAGAAGATAAATCTAATTATGAGGGAAACCAAAGTGAAGCAAGGTATCCTCAAGGAAATCCCATCGAACTCTATCATACGCCTTTTCAAGATCTATTTTCATAGCCACTAAGCCGTTTTCCCCTTGAACTGTTTAATCCTGTGGATTATTTCCTGAGCAAGAAAATATTATATGCCTCTTGTCTTCCTGAGATGAAGCTAGCTTGAAGCGGATTCACAGAATCTTCAAGCAAAGGCCGACGTATGTTAACAAGGACTTTCGTGATAAGATTATAAGTAACAGTACACAGACTTATAGGCCGGAGATGCTTAACCGAATCAGGAGGAGAAGCTTTTGGAATTAAAGCAATCAGCGTATGATTTAACTCACTGGGAAAGAGGCCGTGTTCAACGCTGAATTAACAATAGAAACAAGGGAATCACCAAAGGTAGACCATAACTCCTGGTAAACGCCTGCATGAAAAGCATCATCGCCGAGAGCTTTCCATGGTTTCATCATGAACAAAACAGTACGTACTTCATTCTCTGAAACCCTCCTAGTGAGTGAGAGCTTATCATAGAAATTTTGGGACAATTGAGACCCGGGAGGGGGAGGTAGAAGTGTCATCATTATAATAGAGTCCCTTGAAAAAATTGACCACCATTTCTCGAAGGCCTTGAGGATCTTTAACCAAAACCCCATTAGAATTCTTTAGCATTGTTATTTTATTTTTCCGGCAGTGAGTTAGCATTGAGAGGTGGAAGAAACGAGTGTTCCTATCGCTAAATTGCAACCATTTAACACGAGATTTTTGAAGCCAAAACCATTCTTCTTGCTCCAAAATAGCTTTATACTCTTCAATCAGAGAAGCTTCAAGGGTAACAAGTTGGTGAGAACGACCATGAAGAGGGAGACTTTGAATACCTTTAATACGAGCAAGGAGCTTCTTTTTACGACCGACAATATTTCCAAAGTGCTCCCTATTCCATATAAGGAGATGATCAACCAACATCTTCGACTTCATCACAACCCAAGCTTGACCGGAAATTATTCACCATATCACGAAAACTCGAACTCGTAAACCACATCGCTTGGAAACGAAAATGGCACTTTTCTTTATCAACAAGATAGACTGGATATAGTTGAAGAAGAAGAGGGTTATGGTCAGAATTAACACGAGGGAGATGGGTTACTAAGACCTGATCTAGTCTAGCTTAAATTTTGTAGATCCTTGTCTCAAATTCGACCATGTAAAGGGAGTACCTTGGAAGCCAAGGTCCAAGAGATTTCAATTTGAAAACATATCATTAAACAGTCTGCTCCTGTAAGATGAGAAATTTCCTATTGCTCTCTCATTCATAAAAATCACGTCATTGAAGTCCCAGACAACCACCCAAGGGAGCGAGATAGAACTACCCAACTCCTCAAGACTTCGCCAAAGGTTCCTGCGATTCCCAAGAATAGGACTTGCATAAACCACCGAGAGCAAAATAAAGATCCAAGTCCCCAACTTTAATTGAGCTATGAACAACCTGACAAGGGGAGTGGATGATATCCAAGGAGACAACATGGTCATCTCAGGCAACCCATATACCACCAGCAAAACCCTGCTACAGTATCGTTCCAAAGAACGATAAGCACTTTAAAAAGAACAAGCTTAAGGAAAAAACAAGAGAAATGCTAGTATGTAGAAACTTCATTCATTTTAACTCTCTCGATCATGGAGAAGTACATTTTATACAATTGGTTAGAACAATTCAAGAAGCTTTAACAGCTCATAACCACCTCAACTAACACTTAAAAAACTAACTGTCATTAACGTACATGAGAGATTAGTTAAACAACATCATCTCCAACTCATACACCAACATTCCCCCTACAACAAACTCTCCTACTTATGAACACCATTCAGCACAGCTTCTTGTTGAAAACAATAATTCATTCAAAAATTCATTCGCCACATTCCTCAATCGTTGAAGCCACAAACTTGCCTTGAATCTGGAGACAAGTAATTGTTGCCAATGTTTAAGAAACGCATGAGTAGACAACGATTTAGTTAGGACATCAACAACCTGCTCAAAGGCAGGTACCTCCTGAACCGATAGTTTTCCAGCATCAATCATTTCCCTAACAAAGAACAAATCAAGTTCAACATGTTTGAACTTGGAATGAAGAATCGAATTTGCATAGAATGCTACAATACTGGAATTGTCACACCATAAGATAGGTTTCCCATGAATGGGCACCCACAGCTCACCTAGAAGTGATTCAAGCCACACCATCTCCGCAGCAGCACAGACAACACTCCGATACTCAACCTTTTTCGTAGACCGAGCAACTACCTGCTGTTTACGAGAGCTCCAGGAAACCAAATTGTCACCAAAATAGATACAGTAACCCAAGGTTGAGCGTTTAT